TTCCTCGGGACATGATTTTCCTATACCTACTGTGATTTCATTGTTTCGGCTCGCGATTAGGGTGCGTATTATTTAGGCCAGGGTTCATAATGTCCAGGGCACAATGTGTCCAGTGCTCGAATTGGCCAGTGCCTTGAATTGGCCAGTGTTCACCTTGTCCAGGGATTACATGGTCCAAAAGTGGCCAACTGGCTGCAGATAGGGTAAATTCAAAGAGGCCAGGGTTCATAATGTCCAGGGCACGATGTGTCCAGTGTTCAAAATGGCCAGGGTTCATAATGTCCAGGGCACGATGTGTCCAGTGTTCGAAATGGCCAGGGTTCATAATGTCCAGGGCACGATGTGTCCAGTGTTCAAAATGGCCAGTGCCTTGAATGGGCCAGAGTTCATAGTGTCCAGGGATTACATAGTGAACCCAACCCAACCAAACCTAACCCAACCAAACCTAACCTAACCTAACCTAATCTAACCTAACCTAACCTAACCTAACCTAACCTAAGGTAATGGTGTGCCTACCAGGGATAAGGAAATAGTTTCTCGCATGAATAGATTGCAAGCAATAGTAAATCAAATATTTTTAGGTTAAGTGGTTATGCATCAGGCTTCAGGCGCCTGAAGCCTGATGCATAACCACTTAACCTAAAAATATTTGATTTACTATTGCCTGTAATCTCTCCTAAGGCATTGCCTTCGGCACTGCACTGCTTTGCATTGAGCTGATTCCGTGTTTTTTACATAATGACGTCACTTTCAGTGACTATGTAATCCCTGGACATTATGAACTCTGGCCCATTCAAGGCACTGGCCATTTTGAACACTGGACACATCGTGCTCTGGACATTATGAACCCTGGCCATTTCGAATACTGGACACATCGTGCCCTGGACATTATGAACCCCGGCCATTTTGAACACTGGACACATCGTGCCCTGGACATTATGAACCCTGGCCTCTTTGAATATACCCTATTAGGGGGCACCCCCGGGAAAGATGATTTTCCGGGGGTGCGGGCGGGGGCTCGCGGCCCGTCTGGAGCGCCGGGGAGGTATCCACCAGATCTCCCCGGCCCGGGGAGGTATCCCACAGCTCTCCCCGGGGCCGGGACGGCATATGCCATGGAACGGCACCGTCCCGGTCTGGCCAGACGGGCCGCCGTACAAAGTTAGGGGGAGGCCGCAGGCTGGCGGAGCGCGTGTGGTCCAGCTATAGTGGTCGGAAGGTCTGTCGGGGCGGCGGGGTTGCGCGTGGGACCTGGTGTGTGTGTGTGTTTATTTCGGTGATGCTCTGTTTCGTTTTGTTTTGTTGAAGAGGTGCCTCGTAATAAGTTTATGCTTTTGCACCAATTCAACTTTATTTCTGTCCATTGTCCATGCCCATAATCATGAATAAACGACAAACAAATCTGCAGCCAGTTGGCCACATTTGGACCATGCAATCCCTGGACATTATGAACTCTGGCCCATTCAAGGCACTGGCCATTTTGACACTGGGCAAAGCGTGCCCTGGACATTATGAACCCTGGCCAGAATGAATGCTCCCCTCGCGATTATCGTCATATCGAGCGTTTGGCGGTCTAACACGGTGCGTGGAAGGGTTCAGAGTAGCTCCGGCCGATGGGGGACGCCGGGCGCCGGCGTCCAGCCGGGGGTTGCCTCTCCGCTCCCACGCAGCCGCCGGCGTGGGAGCAGAGGGCAGCGGACCCCTGCGGGGACATCTGGGCCGCCGGTGTCATCGGACACCGCCCGCCGATGTCATCTGATACTGGCTGCCCCAGTGTCACCGGACCGGCCCCGGCGCGCGGCCAGCCGACGTCCCTGCGACCCTCGACCCTGGCCGCCGCCGCCAGTGACCCCTGCCCTCCATCAGTAACCCCTGCCCTCCCTCCGGCAGTGACCCCTGCCCCTCTGCTCGTGACCGCAGCGGCCGGTCGCCTCCCGCCGCCGGTGTCTGACTGGAATCCCCTGTGTAGCACGGGCCGGGTAAGACCCGATGCTGGCGATGGGACTGACGACTGGAGTCCCCTGTAGCTTGGGCCAGAAAGACCCGGCGCTGGCGTCCCGCCGAATGACGCGACTGGAACTGCACACTGCACAGCGCGGCCCGTGTGAGCTGCAACGGCTCCGGTTGTCCCTGCGGTGGGCCCGTGTGGCCACTGGCCAAGGCCGCTACAAAGCAGCGAAGGGCGTGGCGACGGCCAGCCTGGCTCGCCGGTCAGTCTCCCAGGGCTCGCCGGACAGTCTCTCAGTGCTCGCCGGACAGTCTCCCGGGGCTCGCCGGTCAGTCTCCAAGGGCTCGCCGGTCAGTCTCCCAGGGCTCGCCGGACAGTCTCTCAGTGCTCGCCGGACAGTCTCTCAGTGCTCGCCGGACAGTCTCCCGGGGCTCGCCGGACAGTCTCTCAGTGCTCGCCGGACAGTCTCTCAGTGCTCGCCGGACAGTCTCCCGGGGCTCGCCGGTCAGTCTCTCACGATCCGGTCAGTGTTTGAGGTGGGACCGCACTGGGTCGCAGCCGGGAACTGGCCGACGCCCGTTTACACAGCACCCACAGTGTTCCAGCCGGCTGTGCAGTGTGCATTGTGCCGTTTCTGCGGCCCGCCCGCCGCCTCGGCCGCCTATGGCCATCGCCCTCAGGGAGCAGCGAAAGTCTCCAGAAAGCCAGTTTACTGAGCGGATCGCTGATAAGCCGCTCTGTCGCCACATGGCCGTTTGTGTCGTTTTTGTCCAGCTGCGCCGCGGGGCATTGTCTAGGCAGCTGCACGGATTGCGACTTACCTCACCATATCAGCAGCTGAGCGTATCAAGGCGGATTGCCAGCTGCAGAAGGCGCCTCCAGCTGCCGGCAGGCTGGTGCCGTCCGACAGACAGATATCCGTGTGTGGTGCCGACCGGCAGACAGGTATCTGTGTCTGGTGTCGTCCCGGAGACAGATATCTGTGCCCGGTGCCGTCCGACAGACAGATATCTGTGTCTGGTGCCGACCGACGTGCCGGGTCACCACAGGTAGCGGCGAGCACACTGCAACGGGCAGCGGCCCAGCTAACAGCCACCGGCAGCCGTCGTCGAGCCATGCTGAAGTGGACGGAGGCCGCAGGACGTTCAGAACTGGACGGTCGAAGCTGGACGGTTGTAGCTGGACAGGGGCCGCCGCGGTTGTTGCTGGACGGCTGTTGTAGACCGGTGGGATAATCAGACGGCCGCCGAGTCTTATCGGACGCGGGCCGGCGGCTAAAGCCGGGACGCTGTGCGGAGCGCCGCCGGCCGGCCCCGGGTGTAATTAGCGTGCCGGACTCTGATGAGCTGCCCGCTGACGACGCGGGCCCGGTTCAGCCAAGCTGCGCCGCACCGTCGGGCGCCGGGGAACCGAGAGCCTGCTGAGCTGACCGCGCGGCCACCGGGTGGGGGAGTCCGCGACACGGGACATGTGCACTGCGCGTGTCGGAGGGGGGGGGGGGGGCTGCGGTGTCGTAGTCGCGGCGCCATGAGTTGCGTCAGGGGCGGTGTTTTGAAGGAGCCGTGCAGTGTGCAGCAGCACTGCCCGTATCCGGTGGCCCTGAAAGGTCTGCAGAGCGGGCCGCATTATCAGCGGCCCTGTCGTCGGCCCGTGCTGAGCCCACAGCGCGCCCCGCGGACCTTTTGGTGTGGCGCGGAGCTGTCTGCGCCGTCCTGCAGCTGCTGGTGGCCGGCCGCCGCTCACGGGACGTGCCGTGTGACCGGCCGCCGCTCACGGGACGTTCTGTATGACCGGCCGCACAGGCCAGCCTCCCGGTGTGGCCGGGACGCCTCTGGGGGCCGCGCGGCGCCTCAGGTGTGGTCCGTCAGCCGTCCGTCCGCCGGTGTGGCCCGTCCGACCGGCCGGGCGGTGTGCCTGTCTACGGCGGCCGGCCGTTCTCTGCACCGTGGGGGCGTATCTGGTCGGGTCGGCCGTGACATCATCCCCGCCCGCCGAGCGACTCACAGGCAGAGGCAGAGCCGCTGGACCGGCAGCGAGTGCTCAATGACCCGCCGGACCGGCAGCTGCTGCTCACTGCCCACTGCTCCGCCGGACCGGACCGGACCGGACCGGCAGCGGCTGCTCACTGCCCACTGCCCACTGCTCCGCCGGACCGGCACCGGCTCTTCACTGCCCACTGCCCCGCTAGCCAGGGGGCGGCTGCCCAGTGCCCCGCCGGCCAGCGGTGGCCCGCTGAGGAAAGGGTGGGCGCCGAGCGGCGGCAGCTGCCGGCCAGGCGGCTGACGGCCGTCCGGCAGGTGTGTGCTGCCGGTGGCCAGACGAGTCGCCTCCGTGCGACCACCGCGGCCCGACCGAGCCCAGACGTGACCCGTCCACCGGCGCCCCGGTCCCCCGGGTAGGCGTGGTCTGGTGGCCGGCCCGGTTTTACGGCGTCCGGCGGCTCAGGTGGCGAGGTGACGCGCCATGGTGCAGACTGCAGGCTGCAGTATGTGCCTGACCCAGCCTCACATTCCGCGCCGGGTGGGTCCATTGTTTTCGGGACCGCCGCTCGACCGCGCAGTCCGCGGACACCGGCAGTGGGCCGCGCGGCCACCGGGTCTTTGCGCCGTGGGGTTTTGTCTGTTAACGTGTGTCTGTTTTCTGACCCGCTGGGCGCTGACCGACCCCGTGTCCCTCCGTTCCAGGTGTGCCGTGCTGTGTCTGTGCTGTGCCAGTTTTCTGTCCCGCTGACCGACCCGCGTCGCTCTGTTCTCGATCCCGCTGACTGGCCCGTGTCCCCCTGTTCTGAGTCCCGCTGACCGGCCCGTGTCGCTCTGTTCGAGGTGTATGTGCTGTGTCAGCTCCGAGTCCCGCTGACCGGCCCGTGTCGCTCTGTTCTGAGTCCCGCTGACCGGCCCCGTGTCGCTGTGTTCTGAGTCCCGCTGACCGGCCCCGTGTCGCTCTGTTCTGAGTCCCGCTGACCGGCCCGTGTCCCTCTGTTCTGAGTCCCGCTGACCGGCCCGTGTCCCTCTGTTCTGAGTCCCGCTGACCGGCCCGTGTCGCTCTGTTCCAGGTGTGCCGTGCCATGGCGCTGAGCAGCGTCTGTAGGTTGGCCGCCGGCCGCTGGCGCCGCGCCCCGGCCGGCCGCTATGGCCGCGCGCGCCGCGCCGCCGCCCACCTGTAAGCCGGCGCCGGTCGCGCTCCCGTTGCCGCCGGAGGTGACTGCCGTGCACGGAGCGCCGGCGCCCTGCGGCCGGCCCCGCCGGCCCGGCCGGGCCACTCACCAGCGCAACCTCAGCCTCGACTTCCGGTGAGCCACGGGGGCCCTGGGAGCTGGGACGCAGGGCTGAGGGCTGAGGCGGCCGACTGGGAGGGCCCATTGGACGGTCTTTGGCACTGAGCTGGCTATGACCCGGCGCGCAGCTGCTGTGGAGTGGGCTGTGGAGCTCCGAGCATGCTGCTCCGGCCTTCTCCTGTGATAGCGCTCGATAACTCTCACATGGCGGGAGGTAATATTATTGCAGGTAGATAGGACTCCGCGCCCCGGCGGTGTCACAGTGAGCGCTGATAGATTGTGTGGCCGACGGGGCGTCGAGCGCAGCTGGCGGCGTCCCTGACCCGCCATGGTGAGCTGTCCGGGCCGCGCGGGGCTTCGTCGGCAGACCGGCCCGTCTGCTTTTTGCCAGCCGCTCTGGAGGCCGGCTGTCTCCGCGAATCCCAACACGTGACCGTGATGTGGGGACGGTTTCGAGCCGAGGGGCGGCGGCCGGCGCCGGCTAATGCTGCCTGGCCCGACACCATACAGTCCATCCCTGTCTCAGTCCGTCCCTGTCTCAGTCCGTCCCTGTCTCAGTCCGTCCCTGTCTCAGTCCGTCCCTGTCTCAGTCCGTCTGCTTCTTCAGTCCGTACCTGTCTCAGTCTGTCTGTCCATCAGTCCGTCTCTTCCCCAGTCCGTCTCTCCACAGTCCGTCTGTGTCTCAGTCCGGTGTCCCTCAGTCCGTCTGTGTCTCAGTCCGGTGTCCCTCATTTCGTCTGTGTCTCAGTCCGTCTGTGTCTCAGTCCGTCCCCGTCTCAGTCCGGTGTCCCTTAGTCCGTCTATGCTCCTCAGTCCGTCTATGCTCCCCAGTCCGTCTCTCCATCAGTCCGTCCCTGTCTCAGTCCGGTGTCCGTTAATCCGTCCCCGTCTCAGTCCGTCTATCCCTCAGCCCGTCTGTGTCTCCTCCCCCGGCTCCGTCGGTCCGTGCGTGTCTCTCAGTCGGTCCGGCACTGGCCAGTTGACCCGCGCCGAGTGCCGGCAGTACGGGCGGCGCCGGAGCGGCCATCGATCGGGGCCGCTGCCGGCGCCAGTCGCTGCGCCGAGGGCCGGCCGAGCCAGCGGTGAGCGCGCGCCGCCGGACCGCCGCCGCCGCCGACTGAGCCAGCCGGCGCCACCCCCACCGGGACCGTGGGGAGGGGACGGCCGGCACTCGGCATCTGGCGGCGCCGGATGTTGACATGATTGCTGCTCGTCGACTGGACGTGTGCGTTCTCCGGCGCGCACACAGACACTGGGCTGGCTTGCCCGGAGATCAGAGGACGCCGTGCCACCTCTGTGGCGCTCCCCGGGCCGCGCGCGGAGCACAGCCGTATCGGTCGGCCCGTGCTCCTGCCGGGGCATAAGGACCGCGGTGGGCAGGGCGCGGCGCTCCGTGCCGAGTGTAGCGGACTCCGGCCGCCAGCCGTGCCGGCAGTAGTGCTATCGCCGCTGTGTCAGAGTCCGGCCGACTGCACCCCGACCTGTGACCGGGTGGCACTGTGTGGTGCTATTGACCTGTGACGGAGCGGCGGGGTCGACCGGCCGGTGGGCGGAGACCGCCAGCCGCGTCTCACGGCACGTCGAACTCGGCTCGCTGTAACTGGATCATTTGGTAGGGCCGGACACCTTGTCCAGCTCGGATGGTCCGTGATCGGCCGTCCGGGGGCGACCTCCTCGGCGGCCGTCACGGATCACGTGCCATCCCCCACCGCTCAGCGGGCTCCCAGCCGTCTCCCACTGCTCAGCGGGCCCTCAGCCACCCCCCCCCCCCCCACTGCTCAGCGGGCCCTCAGCCACCCCCCCCCCCACCGCTCAGCGGGCCCCCAGCCGTCTCCCACCGCTCAGCCCCCCCCCCCCTAGCGGTCAGCGGCAGACTTTGTCCGTCGAGTGCGGCTCGGGAGTAGTCTATCGGCCGAGCCGATACCGAGGCCGACCTCCGTCCGGCGGCGCGCCGCGCGAGGGCGGTCGGCTCGGTACAGCCGCGCGGGGGCGGTCGGCTCGGTACAGCCGCCCGGCGCAGCTGGCCGCCGGACCGTGACGCAGCGCCACACTTTCCCCGCTGGCCGTGACGGCCGTGACGGTGGTGGTAGGAGCCCGTCCCTGGTCCCGTCCTCCCTGTGACGGCCGCAGGCTGTCGGCGTGACAGTCCGGCCGCCGGCGCCCCCCCCCCCCCCCCCGGCCGGTGGTGGTGGACGGTCGTCCTGTGTTGATCGCGCGGCCGGCTCGAGAGGTGCTGTGTTGATCGCGCAGCCGGCTCGAGAGGTATCTTTCCGCTGCCTGACTGCGCGCAGTGTGGTCCGATCAGCGGCCGGCCGCCGCGGCCGCGGACGGTGCCGGGCCGGCTCCGGTCAGTATGTGTACAGATGACCTCTGGGTATCCCCCTATGTTTCCTGATATGTGCTGTGCTGTTCAGCCAGTCTGTGTGTAGCTGCAGCCCCTGCCACGGTTGGTGTCTGACGGAGCCGTGTCGCTCGCCGCAGGTCGATGGGCATTGTGCTGCCGCCCGTGCAGCACAGTTCGCTGCGGCGCACCCACCACCGGAACCGGAGTCTGGACTCGGTGCTCCAGGAGATTCCCGAGCTCGAGGCCGCCGAGGAGACGGCGCTCAAGCCGGCGCTGTCGTGTCCGCGCGTGCGCCGCGCCGGCCCGCCGCCGCCGCCGCCGGTCGCCGCCGCCGCCGCGCCGCGGCTCGGCGGGGAGGACGCCGCCAGCCTCGGCTCCACCGACTCGGGCATCAGCTCGGACGGCTCGGAGCGCGACTTCCGCGGCGACGCCGAGCACGCGGCCCCAGGCGCCGCCATGGCTTCGAGTCCGGCGCGCTCGGCGATAGACAGTGACCGGCCGCCGGCCGGAGCGCCCGTGACGGGTGCCGCCTCTGTGACTGTGACGGCCGGGACGCCTGTGACGGGTGCCGGCTCTGTGACTGTGACGGCGGCGCCTGTGACGCCTGTGACTGTGATGGCGGCCGGAGACGCCAAGCCGGGTACGCAGAAGTCGTGGCTGCTGCGGCTGTTCGAGAGTAAACTGTTCGACATGAGTATCGCCGTCAATTACCTGTTCAACTCCAAGGAGCCCGGAGTACAGACATATATCGGTGAGTACTTCGGCGCCCGTTCGGCCCCATTGCTGCGGCGCGTCGTGGTGACATTCTCTGATGACGTTATGTAGCGTGTCTTGACGTCCTGTGTCTCCTGTGTCCTATGGTCGAGTGATGACATCTTGTGCATGTGATGACGTCCTGTTTCGTGTGGTGTCTTGTTTCGTGTGATGGTGTCTGTGACGTGGATGACGTCCAATGATGTGATATCCTGTGGCGTGTGGTGACGTCCTGTGGCTGTGATGACGTCCTGTGAAGACTGACGCGCCGCCCCCGCGCTGTCAGGGGACGGGTGGCGTCGATTGCTGTGTGTTTGTGTCTGTTTCCGAGAATGTTTCCAGCGACCTTGGCGCTGCTAGGCCGACTCGGTGCCCGCAGATCCAGGGGAGCGATCCCAGTTTACGGAGCCTCTCGGAGGCGAACCAGCTGTTGACTTAATCGCAAACTTGGCGCGTAACAGTTTACACTTGGAGTCTGGAGTGCCTTAGTCAGCAGAAACGATCGTTTCACTGCTGTGGTGTAGCACGCGACAGGGAAGTTGGTCGGCTTTGGACGCCGTCTGTTCCGAGCTGCGTCCCTCCGTAATGAGACCATGACCTTATCAGTCACGCGGCGGATGGACGGGTCGGTCACCACGAACAGGCCGCTCGGCGCCGCCAGCCGCGGCTCCGCTGGCGCGCCACTAGAGCCGGACTGCACCTTACTATTCCGGCGGCTCGGGCGCTGGTCCAGGTCTTGTGTGCTCGCCACCACTCGGCGACCTGGCGCTGGCTGCTCGCCCGTCAGTGTCCGCTGCGCTGCGGCTACCGCTGAGTTCGGTCAGTGCGATAGTCCGGCTCACGACTGCTGCCGGCCGCGCCGTGCCCCAGACCGGGCGGCGGGCGCCGCGCTCCCTCCACTACATATCCGGCCGGCACGGTGGGCCCCGGAATCCACAGGCCGACCGCGCCGGCGCTACACCGACGGAGAATCGGCGCTCGTAAAACATCCACAATCCCGGCCGGTTGAGCGCCCCAGAGAATGACGGCATTCACATGGCTGTCGTTCGTTGGCACTCGGGAGAGATTCGGCCGATGGGCGGCCGCCCCCGCCCCCGCCCCGGCCCGGTCCGGTCCGTCGGCCGCCGGGGTAACGGTGCCGGCCGTGGGAGAGGTATGGGCGGGCCGAGGCCGCCCCGACCGGCGCGCGCGCGGCTCGGCGGGGCACGGGAGTGGGTCGGCCGTCGGCGGCACGGGCCCGTGTTATTCGGCGCGCCCGGCCGCCCTGCAACGAGCACTGAACTGTGAGCAGCGAGCAGTGGCCCGTAACCGGACAGCAGCCGCCAACCCCCGTGTCGGCGGGCTGTCTGACTGTCTGTCGGACCGGGCTCTGGTGTCGGTGTGAGACTGTCTGTTGTCTAGCTGTCGGACTGTCGAGTGTCGGCTGCGGGCTGTCTGTCTGTCGGACTGCGGGCTGTCGGACTCTGGTGTCGGTGTCAACCTGTCTGCGGGCTGGCTGTCTTGCTGTCGGCTGCGGGCTGTCTGTCTTTGTGTCGGACTCTAGCTAGAGTCTAGTGTCGGTGTGAGATTGTCGGCTGTCTGTCGGACTGTCGGGTGTCGGCTGCGGGCTGTATGTCTGTCTGTCGGGACTGTTCCGTCACTTCTGTCGGCGCCAGTCCAGCTGGGCTTTCCACGGCCCGTATCGCTCCCGTGCTTCCCGTCCATCGGTCGTGTGGTGTCGGATGGCTGCACGGACGGCTGTGCCGGGGCCGGGGAGTCCGCCCGGCCGGGACGACCCGGCGCAGCTGGCCGGTACGGGCCGCTGCAGGCCCGGCCCTGAGGACGGACCCGCTCAGGCGGAGACGCACCGGTCGAGTCAGCTCAGTCTCAGTCTCAGCTGACAGCTGGAACGAAGAGCCATTAAGATGTGTTCAGCTAACGCTTCGAGTCTCGACAGCCGGCTGCTCCAATATTTATACTGATGGCCCGCCTTCATTAGGACTACGCTTGGCGGGAACTCAGCGGGCTCGTCTTCGCCTTGGTCCCAGTCAATACTTTGAGCTGCAGCGGGGTGGCGGCATAGGGCCTCCAGTCCTGTATCAAGCCCTGACTGGTGTGGTCCCGGTCCGCCGCCCGGTACCCAACTCGGAGGGGTGTGGTGCCGCCCCAGTCGTGAGCGCGGTGTCTGCTGGCCGACCTGGCCGGCTGCCACCGGCCGGCGCGGTCAGGCTCCGTCTGTATCTCTGTCTATACCGTCGGCCGGGTGAGAGGTAGCGCTGCCTTGTATCGCCGGCCGTGTCAGCTCTCCGCCCCTCAGGTCCGGGTAGCGCCGCCCACTGTCTCCGGCCGCGAGTCGGCCGCCAGGAGTGGCCAGCTTGGCACTGCGGGCCGCGGCGCCGGGCCGGGCAGCAGGGCGGCCGCTTGGAAGGTGGCTCGGTCTACAGACAGTATTAGATGTGTCCCGAACCGGGCCTATGATCTGCTCATGGACAGCCGACCTTCGGTATCGATCGCCCTCTACGCCCCACTGGCCTTCAGTGGAAGTGTATAGAGCAATCGCCTGTTAAAGCTGTGATTGCTATTTGATAGCCGAGTGGGTTTTAAATGCGCACCCCGCGCCCGCTCGGCTGCTCGATAACATAGCGTATCTTATCGGGCTTCGACAGACGATAACGACTGAGCCGCTTCTATCTACCGTGCAGTTTGCCGACCCTTCAGCGAGCCTAGTCTAAGCGGAGCGTGTGTGTCTCTATGGACCGACAGCTGTCCGCCTGATGCTCACCGAGCGCCAGTAGAGCCGTCTGTTGGGCCATCGGTCGGCGCCGGCGTCAGTCCGGCTCGGTGGAGCCCGGTCCGTCGGTCGGTCCGGCTCAGTGGGGCTCGGTCCGCCGGCATCAGTCCGGCTCAGTCAGTGGGGCCCGGTCCGCCGGTCAGTCCGGCTCAGTGGGGCCCGGTCCGGCGTCAGTCCGGCTCAGTGGGGCCGGTCCGCCGGTCAGTCCTGCTCAGTGGGGCCCGGTCCGTCGGTCTCAGTGGGGCCCGGTCAGTCCTGCTCAGTGGGGCCTGATCCGCCGGTCGGTCCGGGTCAGTGGGGCCCGGTCGCCTTGGCCCGGTCCGTCGGTCAGTCCGGCTCGGTGGTGCCCGGTCCGACGGTCGGTCCGGCTCAGTGGGGCCCGGTCCGACGGTCGGTCCGGCTCAGTGGGGCCTGGTCGGTCCGGCTCAGTGGGGCCCGGTCCGCCGGTCAGTCGGGCTCAGTGGGGCCCGGTCCGCCGGCATCAGTCGGGCTCGATGGGGCCCGGTCCGCCGGTCAGTCGGGCTCAATGGGGCCCAGTCCGCTGGTCAGTCCGGCTCAGTGGGGCCCGGTCAATCCTGCTCAGTGGGGCCCGGTCAATCCTGCTCAGTGGGGCCCGGTCAATCCTGCTCAGTGGGGCCCGGTCCGACGGTCTCAGTGGGGCCCGGTCCGTCGGTCAGACTGCCGGCGCTATTTCCGACCCGTGATAGGGCGCCGGACTCGGCTCCCACGCCCGCGACCGACGCCGTCCCGACCACACTGACCGCTCGGAGATGGCGTAAACCCAATAACAGCGCCGCCACGAGCGTGATGGCCGGTTGGGTATATCGACGCGGAGTCAATCTGAACCGGCCGCCAGGCAGCCGGTCACCGCTGCACGGCCGTCTGTGCCGGCCGCTTTTAACCTTCGATATTGAGGAAGTAAGTTGAAAATGGGCGCGATATAACCTCGTTGCTGGCGTGCCCCGCCACACCAAATCATCATCACCGTCCGTGCCTGCCGTGCGGGGTCGCTCCGGCGCCCTGGGCCGCCCCTGGCCTCGGTCTAGCTCTGGCGCCCAGGTGCGGTCGTGCCGGCCGGCCGGCCGGTCAGCCGATACGCTCGGTGGTGACTCACGGTCATCGGTCGCGCACGGAGCGGCCCCTGGCGGCTCATGTGACGCGCGCCGACCACCTGTCCGCCGCCGGCGTCACCGGAGCGCGCTGCGCCGAGGGGAGCGCTCCAAGGGCGCGCCGCTCCCCGGCGAGTCTGTCAGTCGCCGGCAGACGGGAGGGGAGAGCTCGAGGCGCCGACCGGACCGCCGGCCGCCGGCCGCCGGGCGGCCGTGGTGGGCTTCTCACGGTGAGGTGGTCTCACTTGACGGGCGCCGGGTAGTGTGTGGCCAGACAAGGTGGATGCGGTTTGTTGACACTCTCGCTGTGACGCCGTCTGTTTGGGGATCGAGTCCAGAGTGCGCCGTTTGCGCAGGAGCTGGCCCGGCCGCGGACCCCGTCTGCTGGGAGGGGCGGCGGACGGCGGGGCAGGGCTCCCCCGTCCTAGCGGCCGCTCAACCTCGCCATTCGCGCGGCACGATCCCTTCTATCCTCGGAGTGGCGTGTCTTTTTAGCGTGCGTGCGCGCTGCTCCCCTTCCCGTGCCGCCCGCACACGCTGTCCCCGCCCGCTCCCCCGGCACACGCTGCCCCGCCCGCCCCCCGGCACACGCTCAGCGTCTGTCCTTTGTCGGCGCGGCGCGTCACCGACACGGCACGGCGTCATCGACCGGCGTCATCGGCAGAGGGCGTCATCGACCCGCGTCATCGGCGCCGGCACTGACCGATTTGGGCGCCGCCGGGAGCGGGGAGGACAGCGGGCCACGCGGCGGGCGCGTGCTACACCCGGGGTGGCCACTGGCCGGTCTCCGGAGCGCGCTCCGACTGATCTGCCGCCAGAGCGGTGTCCAGCAGCCGGCGGCGTGCTCCGCGTGACTGCCCGTCCGTCCGTCCGGCCGGCCGGCCCGTAAACAACCACGTGACTCATCGTGGCGGCCGACTGTCCTCTGGCGCAGTCCCGGGGCCCGTGCCGGGCGGCGATGTCGCCCGGCGCCGGCCGGCCGTCTGTCCGTCTGTTTATTTGTCTGTTTGTAGATATGTCTAATCTGTCTGTCTATCTGTCCGTCAGTCTGTGCATACGAGTATATCCGGTTGTCTGTATCCTTTTTCCCAACGTGTGTCGCCGAGCCGTGCTGTTGTCCGCGCTCTGCGCCCCGGCCGTCTGCTCTGTGTCCTCAGAGCTGACCTGACTGCCCCCCGTTCCAGTGAACCGCATGTTCAGCTTCAGCGAGGAGGACACGGACTTTTTCCTGCCGCAGCTGGTCAACATGTACATCCAGATGCCGGACGTGGCCGAGGTGCTGCACCCCTACCTGGTGCACAGGTGGGTCACGGCGCGGTTGGACTGTCACGGGAGACCCTCCCGGTGAACGTGCTGCAGGTGTAGCCGCCCGCGTGAGTCGGTGACTGGCCGCTGACGCCGCCCGCCGCCCGCAGGTGTCGGAAGAGCGTCAACTTCTCGCTGCACACGGCCCGGCTGCTGGACGCCTACAGCTCGGACGCCAACCTCTCCAACAAGAAGAAGCCGCTCGGCACTCGGCTGCGCAACCTCATCCTCTCGGACGAGCTGCGGTGGGTACACGGTCCGGCGCAGGGGGGGGGGGGGGGGACGGTACACGGCCCGGGCATCGGCTGGACGGGGGCGGTACACGGCCCCAGCGGCGGCTGGACGGGAGCGGTACACGGTCCCAGCTGCGGCCGCACCTAGGCGCGTGGGCGGGGCCGGCCGGCCGGTGGACTGACCTTGCACGGAGCGGCCGTGTGCCAGTCGTGGTGGGGCGAGGATTGTTGGCCACAGTCGGCCGTTTGAAGGGCCGTCACCGGCCCGACCCGAGTGTGGGGTAGAGCAGCGCTTCGGAACCGGCCTGGAGTGTGGCGTTTAGCGGGGATCTGGGAGTGGAACAGGCCTAGAGTGTGGCGTTTAGCGGGGATCTGGGAGTGGAACAGGCCTAGAGTGTGGCGTTTAGCGGGGATCTGGGAGTGGAACAGGCCTAGAGTGTGGCGTTTAGCGGGGATCTGGGACTGGAACAGGCCTAGAGTGTGGCGTTTAGCGGGGATCTGGGAGTGGGACAGGCCTATAGTGTGGCGTTTAGCGGGGACTTACTGTCGGCACAGTTGCCGCACAGGTGCTGTCGAGGGCGTTCGATTGACGACCGGCACTGTCCGGTCCGGCCTTGTGCGGTGAATGGCGATGGGCGCGGCCGCTGGTATCTGGTTTCGACTGGCGTTCGGTAGTCATTGTTGTCGGATTTAGGCTATAAGACGCTGCAGGAGGGCTGCAAAACGCGCTGCCGGCGGCCGGGACCGGGGGCGTTTGGAGCCGGTTCGGCGGCCCGCCGTCAGCGTGTCGCCCTCCTGGGCAGTGGACAGGCGCGGAGAGGAATGCCGCTGGTTTCTCTCCACCGTGCCGGGTGGCGCGGCGCCTCACTGCTGTCCGACCGGTGGTGGAAGCACCTGGGGAGCCGGCAGCGGCACCGGTCCGGGCTGGGCTGGTCACAGCCGCCGAGTACCGGACCCGTGCACTGGTCACACCCGCCGAGTACCGGACCGGTGTACCGGTACCGGACCGCTGTACCGGTCACACCCGCCGAGTACCGGACCCGTGCACTGGTCACACCCGCCGAGTACCGGACCGGTGTACCGGTACCGGACCGCTGCACTGGTCTCACCCGCCTAGTACCGGACTGCTGCACTGGTCAGTAGTCCAGTCAGTACCGGACCGCTGTACCAGTACCGGTCAATATGCCTCCTGCATTGTCTCCCGGCTCCCCCAGTGTCTCTCTGCCCCCGGGTCCGTCTGACGCTCGCACGCTGCGTGTCCGGCAGGCCCAAGGGAGCCACGGCGGCCGAGCGGCGTCTGGCCGTACCGACGACTCGGCCCGGCGAGCAGACGCTGTCACCGCTGCGGCGCACCCACCAGCGCTCGCGCAGCGACGCCACGGCCAGCTACTCCAAGGGCCACCAGCGCACCGGCAGCACAGGTAGGACGGGTGGGGGCCGGCCGAGCCGATCGGGGCCGGTGGTCTGCGGGACCGCTGCCTGCCTGTGTCGGACGGCCCTCCCTCCCTAGTCCCGTATGGGTTGGCTTTGGTCCTGTATCTGACGGCCTTTTGGTCCTGTATCTGACTGCTGTTCCTCCTGGTCTCGTATCTGACAGCCGTCTCTCCTTTCTCTGATCCCGTCCCCCTGACTGCTGCTCCTCCCGGTCCTGTGTCTGACGGCCGTCCTTCCCACCTCTGTTCCCGCCCTCCTGATGGCCGTCCCTCCCTCCTCTGTTCCTGCCCCCTGACGGCTGTTCCTCCCTCCTCTGTTCCCGCCCCCCCCCCCCCTGACTGCTGCTCCTCCCGGTCCTGTGTCTGACGGCCGTCCTTCCCTCCTCTGTTCCCGCCCTCCTGCCCCCTGCCGTCCCGGTGGCCGCTGTGGTGGATCTCGCCGCTCCGAAGGTGACCTCGTCCCGACTCCATCCACCAGACAGCGGGCGTCGCCGTCTGCCGAGCGACCCAGCGGCCGCGGTACGTACTCGCACTCGGCGCGCGCCCGTGGTACAGCCGGCTGTGGCTGTACCGCTGTACCGGCCGCCCGCAGACGCTCCGGGCTGTGTCAGTAGCCGGCGGCGGGTCAGTGGGTCCGCGCTGTGCGCCGTCTCTCACACACACACACGCCGCAGCGGGGCCGGTGAGCGGGTGTCTGACCGTCCGTCCGTTTGTCCGTCCGCAGGCAGCATGCGCTGCTACCTGGGCGACATCGGCTCGGGGCGCGCCTTCGACAGCGGCTGCAGCTGCTACGACACCGCCCAGGGCAAGTGCAACGACCTGCTCGGACGGCGCGTCGAGTGCGTCTGCGGGGTGAGTTGGACCCTCCGCTGGGTAAGCGGGCCCTCTGCGGGGTGAGTGGGCGGACTGCGGGGTGAGTGGGCGGACTGCGGGGTGAGTGGACGGGCGGCGGGGTGAGTGGACGGGCGGCGGGCCCTCTGCGGGGTGAGTGGGCGGACTGCGGGCCCTCTGCGGGGTGAGTGGACGGCGCGTCGAGTGCGTCTGCGGGGTGAGTGGGCGGACGGCGGGCCCTCTGCGGGGTGAGTGGGCGGGCGGCGGGGTGAGTGGGCGGGCGGCGGGGTGAGTGGGCGGGCGGCGGGCCCTCTGCGGGGTGAGTGGGCGGGCGGCGGGGTGAGTGGACGGGCGGCGGGTCCTCTGCGGGGTGAGTGGGCGGGCGGCGGGGTGAGTGGGCGGACGGCGGGGTGAGTGGGCGGGCGGCGGGCCCTCTGCGGGGTGAGTGGGCGGACTGCGGGCCCTCTGCGGGGTGAGTGGGCGGACTGCGGGCCCTCTGCGGGGTGAGTGGGCGGGCGGCGGGCCCTCTGCGGTGTGAGTGGATGGGCTGCGGGGTGAGTGGGCGGGCTGCGGGCCCTCTGCGGGGTGAGTGGACGGCGCGTCGAGTGCGTCTGCGGGGTGAGTGGGCGGGCAGCGGGCCCTCTGCGGGGTGAGTGGGCGGACTGCGGGCCCTCTGCGGGGTGAGTGGGCGGGCTGCGGGGTGAGTGGGCGGGCGGCGGGCCCTCTGCGGGGTGAGTGGGCGGACTGCGGGCCCTCTGCGGGGTGAGTGGGCGGACTGCGGGCCCTCTGCAGAGGCCCGCCCGAGTGGGCGGGCCCTCTGCAGGTCCTCTGCGGGGTGTGTCGAACAGGGGGCACCCGGTGCAGACGCACCTGCGGGCGCAGCCGGCGCGCTGCGGTGGCGGTCGGCGGCCGCCCATCAGCCGATTGGCGCGGTGCCGGCGCCGGTGGCGTGCGCGGCCGCCGGTCGGCCGGCCCTCCCGGTGATACATTACCGGGCCGCGCCGACGGCGGGCTCTCCGTGGAACTGTGTGTCGACTCTGTGTGTGATTAGCTGAGGCCGCGCACCGGTCAGCGTTTGGCGTCATTTCGCGGACCCTGTGGATGTTGGTCAGGGCTCGGAGCGAAGTGAGGAGAATGGTCTTGTGGCATGGCACACCTGGTGCAGTGCTACAGCGAGCTGTGTGGGAACTCTGTGGTGTTGTGAGCTGTGGGGAGGCTCTGTTTATTGTGAGCTGTGTGAGGGTTAAATGGTTCTGTGAGCTGTGTGCGAATCGTTTGCAGTCCGGCAGTGCAGTGCCCCGCCCCACTGGGTACCCAGAGAACGCGTGGTGCGCCCGCCCCTAACTGCTGGCCGCCGCCCCAGTGTCCTGTGACTGACGCGCCCCCTCGCCGCGGCAGGCGCCGCGACTGCGCCCCCAGCTGGAGTTTATCGGTGCGCTGATGTCGATTGGCCAGCGGCTGGGCGCCATGCCCACCCGGGAGGCCAAGACCACCCAGCTGCTGAACGAGCTGAGCCTGCTCAACCTGAACCTGCCGGCGCGCGTCTGGCTGCCGCTCTACAGCACCGGTCACCACGTGGTGCGCGTGCCCGCCCAGGCGGCCGCCGTGCTCAACTCCAAGGTGAGCGCTCTCAGCTCGGCCCAGCGTAACGCGCCAGCTCGGGGACTGGGGGCCCAGACCGTGGTGAGCTGGCCGCCCGCTGTGCCCCTTCCCGGTCCGCTGTGCCCCTCCCCTGGTCCGCTGTACCCCCGCCCTGGTCCACCGTACCCCCGCCCTGGTCCACCGTACCCCTCCCCTGGTCCGCTGCGCCCCTCCCCTGGTCCGCTGTACCCCTCCCCTGGTCTGCCGTACCCCTCCCGGTCCGCTGTACCCTCCCCTGGTCTGCTGTGACCCTCCCCTGGTCCGGTGTGCCCTCCCCAGACCGCGCCGAGGTGCCGCCCTGGTTCCGCCCGATGGCGGCCGCAGCGATGGTCCTACATGCATATTTGTCTGACCTGGTTGATTGCGAAAGATAGTGTGTCAATTGTTTGATAACAAATATCAGCTGGTGCATGTTGCGTGTGATACACGGTTGGCAAATGGGACCGGTCGTCGCCCGTGATTCCGGTCGTGCGCCGTGTCTGTTTTTGCGTGTGTCGGACGCGCGCAGTGCCCCCCCCCCCCGCTCCTCGTTCAGTGTTCCGAGTCAATATGCTGTGCCAGAGTGCACACACAGAGCCTGGGCGGCGACACGCAGGCGGCGCCGATACCGATAGTACCTCCGCTACCCCCACCCCGCCTGCCGGCTGCCGCCGCTGCCGACTGAGAGTCTCCACCAGGGGCCTGCCTTGTCACGTGGTTTCGGAAGGAGCTATACGGCGCAAGCGAGGAAGCCCGGCGTCCCAGCTCGTAACCGTGTTTGTCCATCCTTTGTTCGTAAAACTCTCCCAACTGTAATGGCATTATTAGTGGTTGTTTTGCACCATTCGCAGTTCCCAACTTCCCTCCCGGAATTCGTTGCTTCCATGTGAACATTTCGAAAAGCGCTCTTCGTCACCTGTTAGAGTGCTTCTCCGGTGGTTCCTTTCGACATGCTGTACCCCCTGTCTGCCGCAGGACAAGGCTCCCTACATGCTGTACCCCCATCTGCCGCAGGACAAGGCTCCCTACATGCTGTACCCCCATCTGCCGCAGGACAAGGCTCCCTACATGCTGTACCCCCTGTCTGCCGCAGGACAAGGCTCCCTACATGCTGTACGTGGAGGTGGTGGAGGTGGACGGGCCGGAGACGGCGCCCGTGCCGGCCAAATGCATCAACACCCTGCGGCACACGCGCTCCGAGGAGAGCCTGGAGACGGCGGCGGCGGCACCGGCGGCGCCAGCGCTGCCCACCACCTTCAGCCTCTACGGCAACATGGACGCCGAGAACGCCGACTGCTGGAGCCAGGAGGACGACGACATCTCGCAGCAGGTGAGCACGGTAGGACCTGCGAGCCGGCGGAGACGGTAGGGCGGGCCGCGCAGACTCAGCCCGACCCCAGTGATTGGGTCCGATGTGGGTCCGGCCGTGGTGGGTTACTGCCTGGTGCCGCTGCGGGCGCCCGCTGCCGCGGCTGGAGCGCTCCCTCTGACCCCCTATGCCCCGTCTGTCGGCAGTACTGGCAGCTGCGCCGGCCGCGGCTGGAGCGCGAGCGGGACACCATCTCGCAGATGTCGCTGGAGTCGGCCGACAGCCGCGAGCCGGTGCTGATCGCGCCCGGCGACATCCGCCGCCGGCTGGCCGACAGTCTGGCGGCGCCGCGCTCCACGTTCGCGCGCGACCCCGAGGACCCGTCGGCGGCCGTGCTCAAGGAGCCGTGGGCCGAGAAGGAGCGCAGGATCCGCGCCAGCTCGCCGTACGGCCACCTGGCCGGCTGGCGCCTGCTGCCCGTCATCGTCAAGTGCGGCGACGACCTGCGCCAGGAGCTGCTGGCCTACCAGCTGCTGGAGACGCTGGACCGGCTGTGGAAGCTGGAGCGCGTGCCGCTCTGGGTGCGCCCCTACCGGATCGTGGTGCTGTCGGCCGACTCGGGCCTCATCGAGCCCGTCGTCAACACGGTGTCGCTGCACCAGGTCAAAAAGAACAGCCGCATGTCGCTCAAAGAGTACTTCCTGCAGGAGTTTGGCGACGTCACCACAGAGGCCTTCCTGACGGCGCAGCGCAACTTCGTGCAGAGCTGCGCCGCCTACTGCATCGTCTGCTACCTGCTGCAGGTCAAAGACCGGCACAACGGCAACATCCTGCTCGACAGCGCCGGCCACCTCATCCACATCGATTTCGGCTTCATGCTCTCCACGTCGCCCAAGAACCTGGGCTTCGAGGCGTCGCCGTTCAAGCTGACCCCCGAGTTTGTGGAGGTGATGGGCGGACTGGGCTCGGACATGTTCGAGTACTTCAAGATCCTGATGCTGCAGGGCCTGGTGGCAGCCAGGAAGCACCACGAGAAGCTGCTCACCCTGGTGGAGATTATGCGATCCGGTGAGTGACCCAGCGTCGGTCGCACGCGGCCTGCTCGCGGCGCCCTACAGCGGGGGGGGGGGGGGAAGGTAGCTGTGGGTGGGAGCAACCCCTCCGACCGACGTGACCTCTGAGAATGGATCTGTAGGGAGCGCCGGACGGCGGTGTGGGGCTGAGCTGGCTGCCGGGAGGTGTCACAGGGGAGGGGAGGGGAGGGGCGCCGGAGGGCGGTGTAAGACTGTGCTGGCTGCCGGGAGGTATCACAGGGGACGGGGAAGGGCGCCGGAGGGCGGTGTGGGGCTGTGCTGGCTGCCGGGAGGTGTCACAGGGGTGCTGGGTGGCGTTTTAGGCTGTGGTGGCTTAGGGGAGGGGTCACGGGTGGTTTGGGGTCGCACGAACTGGAGTGGGTGAGCGCCTGATATGCCTCGGGACACTCCAGGCGGTTAGCCTCGAGACTGGCTTATATTTTCACCAGTGAGTCTGTCCCGCTGTCGCTCTCGTTCAGGCGGCCGTGGTCGGCAGTCCCATGTCCCCGGCTGTGGGGTGGAACGTCCCGTGTCCCCGGCTGTGGGGTCGGCAGTCCCCGACTGCTGTGGGGTACGGGGTCGATAGTCCCCGGCTGTGGGGTCGGCAGTCCCGTATCCCCGGCTGTGGGGTGATACGTCCCGTGTCCCTGCCTGTGGGGTCGGCACTCCCGACTGACGGCCGCCCGTCTCCACCGCAGGCTCGCAGCTGCCCTGTTTCCGCTCCGGGGCCGCCACGGTCCAGTTTCTGCGCAACCGGTTCCACATGAACATGACGGAGGAGCAGCTGCAGTACCTGGTCGACTCGATGGTCGAGTCGTCCATCCACTCGCTCACCACCAAACTGTACGACGGCTTCCAGTACTTCACCAACGGCATCTTGTAGCGGCGCGCGGCGCGCTCCGCGGGACCAGAGTCGCCCGGTGTCGGCGCGGCGGGACGGACCCGCCCCGCCTCGCGGCCATCAGTCAGTTCCCATGTGTACATAGTTTGTATACTCATCGAAGACGTTGACTTGGCATGTTACCGCTTTTGATCCTGATGGTGTAATAAAATGCTATAATTGTTGTCTAGCCGCGTCTGTTTGTGTGTGTGGGGGGGGGGGGCAGTCCGGTGGACTGGTGCTGTCAGGTCGCCCGCGCCCGACCTGCCCACCCGGGAGCGCTCCCACAGCTGCCTGGGTGTCCGTGTGCGCAGCGGCCACCGGCGGCCGGGAGCGGACCAGTGGCGCCCCCGCTGTGGCCAGGCGCGGTCGGCGGCGCGGCGGTGGGCACCGCTTCAGATCTCCTCCGGCGAGATACACTGGCAAACAACTACGGGCTACTGATTTCCTTTTACCAGTGGCGTTGAAATCTGTCTGTAATGCTTATTTAGTTGATGTTGTTACTCCTGGAGCGCTGCAGTCCTCGGTGGGCGCAGCCGGGGCCGCCTACGGGTGGCTGGCGGCGTACGTACGATACGATACGGGCGGTGGGGTGACGGTGTCGACCAGATGGCGCCGCGGTATCCGCCGGGACTGAAAATGGTACAGGACTGGGGCGGTATCCGCCGGGACTGAAAATGGTACAGGACTGGGGCGGTATCCGCCGGGACTGAACATGTTACAGGACTGGGGCGGTATCCGCGGGGACTGAACATGTTACAGGACTGAGGCGGCATCCACCTGGACTGAACAATGTGAACATGTTACAGGACTGGCGTGGCATCCGCCTGGGCTTGGACACTGGACAGGCAGCTTCGACAGCTGATGGCGCGAGGCGGACCATTTACCGTGAGCGCGCATCTACCGTCTACCACAGCCCCCCCCCCCCCCCCACCACCACCACCACCACCACCACCACCACCGTGTTTAGGCGACGGCGGCGGTGGTGGCAGTACGCTAACGGCGCGCGTTAAATAAGAATTAATAATAAATTAATCCTTTGATAAGAGCAATGTCCATTACACGCAGGTAGTGTCTACTGTCCCTCCGTACAGTCTCCTCGTCTACTGTCCAGTACATACTGTCTCCTTCCTCGTCTACAGTCCATTACATAGTCTCCCCGTCTACTGCCCATTACCTACAGTCTCCCCGTCTACTGTCCATTGCAGTCTCCCCATCTACTGTCCAGTACATAGTCTCCCCGTGTACTGTCCATTACAGTCTCCCCGTCTGTTGTCCATTATATACAGTCTCCCCGTCTGCTGTCCATTACAGTCTCCTCGTCTACTGTCCAGTACATAGTCTCCCCGTCTACTTCCCATTACATAGTCAGGTCTCCCCGTCTACTGTCCATTACAGTCTCCTCGTCTACTGTCCAGTACATAGTATAGTCTCCCCGTCTACTGCCCATTACAGTCTCCCCGTGTACTGTCCAGTACATAGCCTCCCCGTCTACTGTCCAGTACATAGTCTCCCCGTCTACTGTCCATTACAGTCTCCTCGTGTACTGTCCAGTACATAGTCTCTCCGTCTACTTCCCAGTACATAGTCTCCCCGTCTACTTCCCATTACATAGTCTCCCCGTCTACTGTCCATTACAGTCTCCTCGTCTACTGTCCAGTACATAGTATAGTCTCCCCGTCTACTGTCCATTACATACCTATAGTCTCCCCGTCTACTGTCCATTATATACAGCCTCCCCGTCTACTGTCCATTACATATAGTCTCCCCGTCTTCTGTCCATTACAGTCTCCCAGTCTACTGTCCTGTACATAGTCTCCCCGTCTATTGTCCATTGCATAGTCTCCGCGTCTATTGTCCATTACATACAATCTCCCCGTGTACTGTCCAGTACATACAGTCTCCCCGTTTACTATCCAGTACATACAGTCTCCCCGTCTACTGTCCATTGCATACAGTCTCCCCGTCTACTGTCCATTACATACAGTCTCCCCGTATACTGTCCATTACAGTCTCCCCGTCTACTGTCCATTACAGTCTCCCCGTCTACTGTCCATTACATACAGTCTCCCAGTTTACCGTCCATCACATAGTTTCCCCGTCTACTGTCCATTGCATAAGTCTCCCCGTCTACTGTCCAGTACATACAGTCTCCTCGTCTACTGTCCAGTGTCCAGTACATACAGTCTACTCGTTTACTGTCCAGTACATAGTATAGTCTCCCCGTCTACTGTCCATTATATACAGCTTCCCCGTCTATTGTCCATTGCATAGTCTCCCCGTCTACTGTCCATTACATACCTACAGTCTCCCCGTCTACTGTCCATTACATACAATCTCCCCGTCTACTGTCCAGTACATACAGTCTCTCCGCTGCTGTCCTACATACAGTCTCCTCGTTTACGTTCCTTGTCTTCCGTACACTCTTGATTTTTTTAATGCTTTTGAGGTTTTTATGCATAGAAATAATGACACTAAGGTTTACTTTATGCATTATATGAATATTGAAAAGAATGGATACAGTTGTTACTTGTTTCAATCATTTTTGTATTTTGTCAGATATCGGAACGGTTTCCCAGCGTTCAATTTACCCCGCCTTACCCCACATACCGCAGCCATAGACATTGTTGCGCAGTTTCTCTCAGGATTCTGGACAGTCGTTCGGTGAATCGTTGGAATTGCGTCTCGTACGTTCGTTGAAGTTGACACGCCAGTTTACTGTATAAGGCACCTGCCTGAGCAGTGTCAGCTGCAGACTGAGTGACCCGGGTTCTCGTATTGCCACTCCCACATGCCTCGCCGGCTGACCGGCACCAGCGCGGCCCCCGCGGCCACCCCTCCCCGGCTGAGGCGCTGACACGGCCGGCGCCGAGGTGGGCCGAAGGTCAGGCCCCCGGGCAAACTTCCTGTGTGTCCGCAGCGGCGGCCGGCCCGGAGCGCTGCCGTAAACACCAACAGGGCGGCTGGCCGGCCAAACACGGCGCTCCGGTGGCCGGCCGCGGCCGACGGCCGCTCTGCGCCGGTATGTGGCCGGTGTCGGATGGACGAAACGAGTTCCCGGTGTCGCATGTACCGGGTGCGGCTTGATTTGTGGCCTAGGACCGCGTGTTTCGAGTTCACTGACCTTTATATTGAAGCGGCTCGCAGTGTGCCATGTTCCGTTCAAGCTCCTGTTTGCGTACTGTCTCATCCGAGGGTCCGTCTGTGCCATGTCCCATCCGAGGCCTCGCCTGTGCCATGCCTCATCCGAGGGTCCGTCTGTACCATCCCCCGTTCGCCCTCTTTGGTATTTGTCCGTGTGTTTGTCTACTACCCGTGTTTGTTCGCTTCTGTGTTTGTATATTGTGCGTCAGGTGACCAGGTCCCTATATTGATATTGTAGGCATATTGTATAATGTATAAGTATCGTCCGTATATCGTATCCCTATCGTTTGTATATTGTGTACCTATGTTCTATCCCGTGTTTGTCCAGTTACATGCTTGTCCAATGTTCGCTCCCGTGTTTGCTCGCTCCCGTGTTTGTTACTTTAAGCTCTCATGGTTGTCCAATATCCACTCCCGTGTTTGTCCGCTGCCAGTGTTTACTCACTGTCGTGTTTGTCCGCTGCCGGTGTTTGCTCAAGCTGTCGTGTTTGTCCGCTGCCAGTGTTTGCTCAAGCTGTCGTGTTTGTCCGCTGCCAGTGTTTGCTCACTGTCGTGTTTGTCCGCTGCCAGTGTTTGCTCGAGCTGTCGTGTTTGTCCGCTGCCAGTGTTTGCTCAAGCTGTCGTGTTTGTCCGCTGCCAGTGTTTGCTCACTGTCGTGTTTGTCCGCTGCCAGTGTTTACTCACTGTCGTGTTTGTCCGCTGCCGGTGTTTGCTCAAGCTGTCGTGTTTGGCCGCTGCCGGTGTTTGCTCACTGTCGTGTTTGGCTGCTGCCAGTATTTGCTCACTGTCGTCTTTGTCCGCTTGTCGGCGGGCAGCGCCTGTTTGTTGCTGGGGACGTATAATGCGATGCAGGGGCACGGCTAGAGGGCTCCTCTCGCTTTGAAGGTGCCCATTTCACGACACCAAGCATCACCGGGTGGTTGAGGTCAGGGCAGCTACTGCCGATATGCTACGGCCGGGGTCAGCGCATCTACGGCCGGCATGTTCCGTTTTAGCAACATAGAAGCGCACGCGGATTCAAACCTAACTGACCTGACCTACCCCAACCTAACCTAACACTCATGAATGTGTAGCATAGCTCTCTCTGGCCCCCGGCAGTTGGGAGGGAGCGGAACGGAGCGGGGAGGGAAGTTCGAACAGACCTGGACTGCCTATGTCGATCGGGGCGGCGTTTCTGAGCGCTCTGCCGCGGTGCTCGGCGCTCCCTGCAGGGACGGACGCTGTCGCAGTCCGGCCCGTCCGCTGGCCCGTCCCGTCCGCTGGCCCACACACTGCGCGATGTGCGCTCAGTCCCGTGCGGCGTCTGATCTCCGCCCAACAGCTCACCGAGTGTGCCAAACACTGTGCGAGGAGACGGCGTGTATTTATCACGGTGACCAGCTGACAGTGATGGGTCGGATCAGACCGCCGCCGCACGCGCGCGCCCACAGCGCCCATTGTACAGAAACAGCGCGCTACACGATGGAAGGTCGGCAGTGCGACACAGAATGAAAACGGCAGCACACAATAAACAACGCACAGTCGAAAAACGCCCCGCCGCGGTAAGAGCTGAGCACAGCTCAGCAAAACTCATTCCGCTTTATCACAGGACGGGGTTATAATGAAGAATCACGAGTCAGGTCATCCAGATTTGAAAACATAACAAAGGAAAAAACACCGCGCTGCCGTTCCGACTGCCGCCCGGGCCCCGGACCTGCAGTGGCTGCCGGACAGGCTGACGCTGACCGGTCAGGTCGGCTGACCTGGCGCAGGGGAGGCGCCAGGGGTCGGCGGGTGCGGCTCCCGTCGTCAGCGGTCAGCGGGCGCGCTCTCGCCCTCAGGTGTCGAGCGGCTCGGTTTCCGCGCGCTCAGCTGGCAGTTGGGCGGCCGGGGAACCTGACCCGCCGCCGGCCCGCTCGGAGACGCCCCGGGCTCGGTGCCCCGACGTACCGCGCCACGCTGGGTATTATCGGTAGGAGGTTGGGTGGCGGTGTGCGGTGGGTCAGGCGCGCCGGCGTCGCGGCGGCCGGGCGGTCAGGTGCGCCGCCCGGTAGCCGCTGCGGTCCAGCCGGAGCCCGGCGCCGGCAGGCAGCACCAGCTGCAGGCACTGGCGGCCCGCGGCGCCGGCTCGCAGCTGCGCCAGCCAGTCGCTGACGATGGCGTGCCGCCAGTGCGGCCGGCCCGGCGCCCGCTTCAGCCGCAGCGGCGCGGCCAGGCTGCGGCCGCCGCCGGCCGGGCTGGGCCCGCACACCGCCAGGCGCGTCACCACCGTCACCGTGCCGGCCGGCGGCGGCAGGAACTGGTCGTCCAGCACGGGTACGTGCAGCTCGAGCAGCGCCCGGTCGGCCGCCGGCAGCGCCGCCAGCCGGAAGGTCACCGTGCGGCCGGCGGCCGGCGGCAGGCCGGGACACGCACACCCTGCCGGGGGACGGAGCCGGTCAGTCAGGGGACGGAGCCGGTCAGTCGACGGCCGCCGGCACACACACGGCCAGCCACTCTAAATGCCGGGGTCTGTCGAACACGGTTATACCACCATCCACTACTGCCCCACTGTTTTCAAAACACGATTGTTCAGTGGGATGGTGTGCCATCCTTGTACGCCACTCAGTGTCGACAACAATGATTGCTCCGGTGTGCCGCTGAGGCGGACACCGGGTCAGGGTCAGGGTCACCCCGCGCGTCTGAGGCCGGTCAGGGTCGGGGTCACCCCGCGCGCCTGAGGCCGGTCAGGGTCAGGGTCACCCGCTGACACGGTCTCCGGGTCAGCAGGAGCGGTGCGCCGGCCGCTACCGTCAGCGCTCCGACCCGGCGTGGCGGGCCGCCCGCGCCGACAACACACAACACAGCTGCCGACGCGACACATCCGACAGCACACAGCACAGCCGACAACACAAAGCCGACAACACAACACAGCCGACAACCCAACACAGCTCACAACACAACACAGCCGACAATACAGCATAGTCGACAACAGTGAAACAAACAGCACAGCCGACAACACAACACAGCCAACAACCCAACACAGCCAACAACCCAACACATCCGACAATACACAACACAGCAGAGCCGCGACACAGCCGACAACACACAGCACAGCCGACAACACAACACACCCGACAACACAGCCGACCATACAACACAGCCGACAACACAAAGCCGACAACACACAGCACAGCCGACAGCGCAATACAGCCGACAACACAGCACATCCGACAATACACAACACAGCCGACACCGCAGTCCACAACACACCCGACCATACAACACATCCGACAAGACAGCCGACCATACAACACATCCGACAAGACAGCAAAGCCGACAAAGAGAACCCTCTCGGCCCCCCTCCCACTGGCCCTCTAGGCTCGCAGTCTCCCACTGACCCCCTCCCCGCCCCTCTGGGGTTCCCCACTGACCCTCTGAGCTCTCGGTGATGTTGAGGTGCAGCTCTGGCTGATCGCCGCCCCTCTCCCGCCCCGGCGACACGGCGGAGCTCAGCGGAGGCGGCACACTGGCCGGCGGCGGCGGCGGTGCGCTCATAGTCGGCTCAGCGGCAGTCACAGGCTCCTGGCGGGGCACAAACACAGTCAACGGCGGCCGACAAACACAGTCACCGGCTCCTGGCGGGGCACAAACACAGTCAACGGCGGCCGACAAACACAGTCACCGGCTCCTGGCGGGGCACAAACACAGTCAACGGCTCCTGGCGGGGCACAGACACAGTCACCGGCTCCTGGCGGGGCACAAACACAGTCAGCAGCTCCTGGCGGGGCACAAACACAATCACCGGCTCCTGGCGGGGCACAAACACAGTCAACGGCGGCCGACAAACACAGTCACCGGCTCCTGGCGGGGCGCGAACACAGTCAACGGCACACAAACAGGCACATTCAACAGCGCGCTGTTTGTGCCGCTGCAGCGGCACAAACACTGCGAGTGACTCGTGGCGGGACACCTAGGGCGCTCGGCCAACAGGAGCCTGGTGAGCGGCGGCCGGCCGGTGCTGTGAGTAGGTACCCACCGGTGTGGTGGCCGGCGGCTCGGTGGCGCCGCCCTTCTTCCAGCGCAGCCGGGAGAAGCGCCACAGGTTGGCCTCGTACGCCATCGCCTGGCTGAGCGCGTCGCCGAGCGAGGCGGGCAGGTGGACGCGCGTGATGCGGCGCCGCGGGCCGCCGGCCGCCGCCGCCGCCGCGAACCGCTCCTGGTCGGGCTCCCAGCCGGGCCGCGGAGAGAACGCCTGGGGGAGCGGGGGCGTCAGTGACGGGCCGAGACTCCGGCCGGGGGCGTCAGTGACGGGCCGAGAACTCCGGCCGGGGGCGTCAGTGCGCCTGCTGGGGCACCGAATTTCTGCACGGCTCACCTGGTCCGTCTCTGTATCAGTACGGCTCACCTGGTCGGTCTCTGTACCAGTCTCTGTACGGCTCACCTGGTCCGTCTCTGTATCAGTACGGCTCACCTGGTCGGTCTCTGTACCAGTCTCTGTACGGCTCACCTGGTCAGTCTCTGTACGGCTCACCTGGTCGGTCTCTGTACCAGTCTCTGTACGGCTCACCTGGTCAGTCTCTGTACGGCTCACCTGGTCAGTCTCTGTACGGCTCACATGGTCGGTCTCTGTACCAGTCTCTGTACGGCTCACCTGGTCAGTCTCTGTACGGCTCACATGGTCGGTCTCTGTACCAGTCTCTGTACGGCTCACCTGGTCAGTCTCTGTACGGCTCACATGGTCGGTCTCTGTACCAGTCTCTGTACGGCTCACCTGGTCAGTCTCTGTACGGCTCACCTGGTCCGTCTCTGTATCTGTACGGCTCACCTGGTCGGTCTCTGACTGTATCACCCTCTGGACGAACTGCTGGGTGCCGGCCGACGCGCAGTCCGCCCAGCAGCAGAGCAGGCCGGTGGCCACGAGCGCCGCACTGCCCCAGCCGCGCGCCATCATCGACAGTCGGTGCTGGAGGCTGGCCACTCAGCTTCTGGGGCGGACCGGCGGCGCCGCCGGGATATACGGCCGTGCCCAGTCACCTCGGGAGACGAGGCGGCGCGCGCACGGCCGCCGTGCCCGGTGACACCGCCGCGCTGGTCACCGGGCCGCCGCGCGGGCGATCAGTGGGCCGCGGGGGCGGACGCCGCCGCAGAGCAGAGCGCCCAGTCGCTGGGAGGCCCGACGGTCATCCCGGGCGGAGTGTCTGCTCCCCACACACGACCCGGGTCACCGGGCTGGATGACCACTGACCACCCCTCGCGACCCGGGTCACCGGGCTGGGCGACCAGTGACACTGACCACCCCTCGCGACCCGGGTCACCGGGCTGGGTGAGCAGTGACCACCCCTCGCGACCCGGGTCACCGGGCGGAGCTGCGGGCAGTGAGCCGTCACCCGGACTGCACCACTATAATTGCCGTATGAGCCGCGACGTTCGCCCGGCGCTCGGACCATGATTGCGAGCTGTTTCTGGGCGTAATTACTACCGCCTGTCACCTGTGTGCGGTGTACTTACACTACATAGTGGTTCCTCGTAGGCACAATGGACAGACTGGTCCTTCATTGTACAGCGGGGCTCTCCCTGTACAGAGGAGGCTAGGTGTCGTGCAGTGGGGCGGTGGTCTGACCCCTCCCCCTGTGCAGAGGGGGGGGGGGTTAGAACTGTCTCTCCATGTGGCCTGTGCCCGTCCAGTAACAGTTAGTACTCTGGACGTCGTCAGCTATTACTTTAGAAAAAACATTCCGATCCGATCGACTGTCGTGTTCGCGGTTTAAATTACGAACAGTTTGCCCGAAGAGCTCACGTCTACTAGAATGACACGTCACCCACAAAACTATGAACGTACTCTTGATATATTAAATAAGATCACCATTAGAACATTTAAATGGAAAGCTATGAAAGACGCCAATCGCTTCTCGGCATTTCATTTCTCATTACACCGGCTCCTCGTCCACTTGTCATATGCTAAAGGGTAAACGTCCATGTGACAAAACACTTATAAAATGCACTCGCATAACGCCGGGCACTCCTGGTAATAGCTTTGTTGAATGTGTGAGATGGATCCAATGAATTAATGGCAGTGATAGTGAGTCTCGGTTGACAGACAGGCCAGGGCTCCCGCGGGGCGGCTGCTCAGCAGTGTGCGTCTGTGCCGACTCCAGCGGCGCCGGTGGGCCGGCCGGAGGCTAGGGGCCGTCCCAGCGACTACCGGCGGCCGCAGCGCTGGTCCGCGTGTTTGCGGTAGTCTGTGTCGCGCGCGAACTGTTCCCCGCAGTAGCGGCACAGGAACGGCTTCAGGTTGGTGTGCGACGCCAGGAGGTGGCGCTTCAGGTCGGAGAGCTGGAAGTAGCTGGCCGAACACTCTGCGCACGTGTAGCGCCGCTCGTCATCGTGCACCATGCGGTGGTGGCGGCGCACGCTCGACTGCAGCGCGAACTCCTTGCCGCAGATGTTGCAGCGGTAGCGCACGTCTCCGTTGGGCAGCGCGATCACCAGGTAGCTGAGGTTCAGGCAGCGGCAGACGTCCGCCATCTCTGGCGTGCCGCTCAGACGGCGCCACAGCTGGTACTTGGTGGTGGGCGCTAGCGGCTGCGGGCCCAGGTCCGACAGGCCCACCACCACCTTCCGAAAGTGGTGACACGGCGGCCGGAATTCGACGGCCGCCATGGGCCCGTCCGAGCACGGGCGGCGGCCCAGCGCCGTCTGCGCCAGCCAGGCGTCCTCCGGCGCGCCGGCGGACGGCACCTCTGGGACGCCAGCCGGCCGACGGGCGCCGCGACCGCGCCCACGGCCCCGGCCTCGGCCTCGGCCACGGCCGCGGCCCCGCGCCGATCGCCGCTCGGGGCCGGCGGGCGTGCTGGCGGCCCGCCGGCGAGCGGCGCGCCGTCCGCCGGCCGTCACCGGGTCGGCCAGCTCCTGGACCACGTCTGCCGGCGTGAGCAGCACGGCCGGTCCGTCCGGCAGCAGGCCGGCGTCCGGCCGCTCGGCCGCCGGCCCCACCGACGGCAGGAACAGCGCACTGTCCGCGTCGGCGCCCAGCCGCGGCTGCACGAGCTCGACGGGCGGCACCGCCGAGCTGATGAGCCGCTCGATGGCCACGCTGGCCTTGCTGTCGGGCGCTGGGCGCTGCTCCGGCGGCGACAGCGGGTCGGCCGGCAGAATCTGCACGTTCAGGTGCTGCTCCAGCGTCAGTCTCTTGTTGTAGGAAGAGGCCAGCGCGCAGCGGCAGCCGGGCGTGGCGCTCGGCGAGTCGCAGTGCGAGCTCCGGCAGACCAGATCGTCGTCCAGGTCTAGGGTGAGCGGCGAGCCGCACAGCTCAGCGCAGTCGGACAGCTGCTCCGGCCGGCCGTGACCGTCCGCCGGCCGCGAGCTCCACAGGCCGTCACCGCCGGCGCCCGAGCAGCCGAACAGCTCCATCGCCATGGTTTCTCCGTCGGGCTCAAACATATCCACGTCTTCAATCAACTCATAGTCGGCGAGGTTGACGTCGACAAAGTCATCCACGATGTACTCGCTCTGCAGGGGAATGTCGGCCGCCGAGATCACCTGCGGCTGGGGGAGCGGCGCGGTCGGCTCCGCCGGCGGCAGGGCGGTACTGTCCGGCGCTGAGGTCACGTCCTCGGGCGCCGCGGCCGGCGGCTGGTCGGCCGTCGCCGCCTCCGTGTCGCAGCCCATGGAGATGTGCGCCGTGTCTTTCTCCGGACACTCGGACAGCTCACTATCGGACCCAGTGGCCGGCCCCTGCTGCCAGCTGCGGTCGCCGCCGTCCGTCTGGCTCGCTCCGACAGAGCCCACCGAGGCGGAGCTGGCCGGCGGCGAGCGGCTGCCCTGGGGCGCGGCGAGAGGACGGCCCAGCCGCCACTGGCCGCGCGCCGGCGGCGGGCTCGGTGAGCAGCTGCCGTCTGTGGACTCGCCCCACTCACCGCCGGCCGGCCGCCGCCGCATCGGCCGCCGGATGCGCAGCACGTGCGGCGTGATGATGGTGATGTAGCGAGTCCGAGGAGATGCAGCCGTCTCGCCGTCTCGCACGTCGGACCCCATGGTGCTCTGGTTGCGCATGTCTGGTGAAGGCGGAATCGGTTACCAGAGGGCCGTCAGGAAGTCGTGACATCAACGTCAAAGCGCGCCAAAGTTGTCCCGAGTTCAAGCAACAATCTCCAGGAAATCCAGTTACTTTGGAATATGCAGATTTCAGAACCTAAGGAGTAAAAACCTGTTTCGTGGATGCAAGTCAAATCACCACACGTTGCAAACGTTGCAAAAATGCAGACAGACATTCGTCAATGGCAATGAAGAGCCAAAAGGCTTTTCATTCATTTTTTTTACGTCGGCCTCTCCGACCTTCATTTATATTTTTGTGAGTGATTTAAATATTGATTGTATGGATAGATCACGATCGCGTTTTTTTCAGCACAACGGTTACATATGGCAGGGACTTTCAAACAGCCACTTGAACTCTAACCTGCTGATTTACCGGCTTACCGCCAAGGTTAGCTTTTATGCAAACCCGAGGTGGAACAAGCAAGCGACCGAACTCTATGAGCGCAGGAAATCACGCAGAATAACTCACAATAGCAGAAACATTCACATTGGGAAATGGGAAGCCGTCCAGCGACACTGCGCTTAGCATTGTTGACCGAACCAGAACCGAACGTCAGAAGAACCTTAAACACAACTGATAAGCATTTCAATTTTAACGTATAAGTTTGTTCGTTCATTCCATATGTAAGTCATGATTCGGATATCTAACTTAATAAACATTTGAAATGCCGATACATTATTTACGAACACCACCTACCTTTCGCAAATCCACAGCACAAACTCCCCGCCCCACGCTCTCTCAAGGCCGCGCTCTCTAACAAACGAAAACAAAATTGTCAATATCAGCTGTTTGCTGTCTTCTGCTACATGTTTTCAAGAACTTCAACAATTTTCGAGTAAATTTGCAGAATGCCATTTTCTCAAATATGTATTTTACGGTAAAATCAACAATACAATTTTCATTGCCATGCTAGTTATTCTTCTTAGTTATTCTAGTTATTTTTTATTATTATTTAGTTATATTTATTCTAGCTAGTTATTCTTCTAGTTGTTCCATTCACGCTCACGTTACAATTGGGGGAGCTCCAGCAATCCCAGCAATGTTTGCAGGGTTTGGACTTCAAAACGCGGGAATAATACGGGTGATCAGGGGATTCAAGAGTGATAGATATCGCAAATACACAAAAAATACGGTGCCAATGCAATGCAGGAACCCGTAAAAAGTGTGTTCAGCCTTAGATTCCTTAATCCGTTGCGCAGCCAAAGATAGCGATAAGAAGCGACTAAGCAGCACTATGCGATATATCGTGGCGCCCTCTGAACGACTGTGTTTCTAGCAGCGGTCGATAGGTGACTCTGCGTTTCATGTTGGCTGCCGCTCATCTGCCGCTGCACTGCTCGGGTGTCACAGAACGAGGCTATAGGCTAAAGAACTCCGGTCAGAAGCTTTGGGTTAGTCCTACCAAGATTACTTTACTTATAGTCCTACGGGTTAGTAAAGGAATCTTGGGTCAGTACGGGTTATAGGCGGGTGCGCGCATAGGAAAGTAAGGTTCACCAATGTTCGTATACTGCTGTGGCTCGCGGGGGCCCCTGCTGCAGACCGCGGGGGCCCTACTGCGGCTCGGGGGCCCTGCTAGAGACCGCGGGGGCCCTGTTGCGCCTCTGGGGCCCTGCTAGACACCGCGGGGCCCTGCTGCGGCCCGCGGGGTCCCCTTCTGCGGCCGCGGGGGGCCCCTGTTGGGGCTCTCGGGGGGCCCTACTGCGGCCACGGGCGCCCCTGCTGCGGCAACGGGGGCCCCCCGCTGCGGCTCGCGGGGGCCCTGCTGCGCCTCGCGGGGCCCTCGCGACACCTGGGGGCCCCCACCGGTGGGGGCCCCCCGAGAAAAAGTCGGACCAGTTTTCCTTACGCGTCGACGCCCCTGGCCGGTAAGGTGCCTAATTAGCGACCCACTTAATTTGAACCGTCATTGCTCACGCTCTGTAGGTGCCACTGTGTTACTGGCTTGATTTTCGGAGAGATCGTTCATTTTTCTATTAAAATATAGTCATTTTCTGCCCCAATATTCACTAACTTATTTGTAGTGAGCATTTTGGCAAACCATTGCAAAAAACGCTAATAGGGAACTCTTCCCGATTAGCGACCGGGGAGGGTCGCTAATAAGTCTATGGGTTTCCCCATATTAAAAATGGCAAAAAATGCGACGCCTGAAAAGATGAAATATGATCTCAAAAAAGGTAGCCTATACGCAAAGCACTCAATCACTCGAACAGGAACGTTTATCCAACACATTTACGTAAGTAAAAACTGATCACGTGATGCACCGAAGGCGAAAAGAAGGCGGAAACCCAAATTTTGCGGGCTATCTTGTATGATATTCGAGGTCTGCGCTGAATTCGGCACCCCTGCAGTCGGTGACGACATTTGGCATCCCCTGCCACACATTGCAAGCTTCACCAACACCTCATTTTCATTTCTCTCTTTTCCCCTTTCTTTCCCTTCTTGAGCTATTTGCGACCATGTCAGGCGCAAATAGGAAATATGAGTTGCGACACATTTTTAACCGCCATGCTGTGCACAGTTGAGCGATTCACTATGGGAAAACGGCAATCAATTAGAAAAGGAATGTCGATTAAGAATAAAGAAGGTGCATCATCCTAATGTGCATCGCTTTTTGTCAGAGAGGGTCCAAATACACACGTTTTGGATAAGAAACACGTCATTTTTATTTAAACTCACCTGAAACGTCCCACAAGAAATATCGACGACCGGAAAATAATTTAATTTGATAACCAAAGTATGGCTGACCTTTTGACGATGTTTTTACCCCGTTTTCTCCTGCCAGTTTTTCTGTAGGGAGGTAGGTCGCAAATCGGAAAGGGTCGCTAATTAGGCACCTTACGGGTAGACCGGGGCAAGTCGCCCCGCCGAGGTAAAACGCCTCACCTATGTTTTTCGGAACTGGCAAGGTTCTGGGGAAACATTCTCTCTTCTATAAAACGTGCACTATGCGATCATTATATGAGCAGACTGGAAAGAAATTGTGATGACTCTTTAGGGAGCTATAGCCAAAAATGTGTTTTTGGAGTGATTTTTATGTTTTGTTGTCAGATTATGCATCATGGCGTTCTTTTATCGTCCACATCAGGTGAACGACTTTTATGTATTTTGAACAACTATTGTCTAACGCTTATAATGACGGGTTGGTTCGTGTTAAATTTTGTCTTCCTGGAGTGCAAGGCGTTGTTCTCTGACCGAACTACGTGATGGGGTAAAACGCCCCAGTAGGTCGCGGGGCAAAAAGCCCCATGGGGCGTTTTACCTCATGTGTTGTTCGGGCTACCCACTTCCTAATATTCGGTAGCTGGCGAACGGTATATTTCTATGCATTTATGTGTACTTTTCTCAGCAACTGGATGGCAAAGGAAGTATTTTGTTAACATTTGCATTGTAATAATTTATTATTTGGCCTTATGAGGCAGGTGAAAAACCTGCTCATACAATAGTGTCGTAGCTGAACACCTGATGGGATGGAAGGTGCTAACTTCAGTGCCGTGCCTCCCAAGGTCTAACGGACCTCTCATATAAGATTTAGTCAACTAGCATGTTTAATATTTAATCTAGAGTATGGGGCTTCTTGCCCCAGGCCGTGGGGCGTTTTGCCCTGGGGTTGGGGCAAAACGCCCTATTTGCAGTGGCTTCACAAACCATTTCCTAGCTGGGAGTCCGATCATAACTGAATGAATTTGAGGGATGGAATTTAAAGTAAAATGTCCAAAGAACGCATTGACCACAAATTTGGCCTTCCAGGTGATGTGGGACAAAAGTTATGTAGCAAAATAAATTATCTGGGGCGTCTTGCCCCAGGCTACCCTATGCACGTCAAGTGGAACAAAACATGACCATTTTTGATCGCATCCGTCTCGATTTTACGAAACTTTGCGAACTTACCTTTTCATCCATAGGGGTGAAAAGAAAAAACGTTATTTTTTGGCAGCATGTGGCGACATGCTTCTAAGATACACGTCATCAAATATTTCGTTTGACATTTGACAAGGTATAAGGAAAGGTGGCCCAGTTGCGCCCGCGAGATAAATGCGCCCTCCCGGGCTGCAGGCAAAACGCCTGAATGCATGTATGTAGGTACACGTCAACCGTCATCGGGCGCATTTAAATTTAATTGCGGCATACCGTGAACGCAATTATCAAACGTGTTCGGCAATTGCGCCTTTGCAACCTGTTGGAAAATTCATCATATGAAACGACAAAATGCAAGTACCTAAGTTGTTCTTAATCGTTTTAGGTAGGTTGAACCTTGCCCTAGCAGGGGGGCCGATGCGACCCCCTAAGGTTTTTACAAAGATAGCGTAACGGCGGCGCGCAGCGCCGCAAAATTTGGCACAGCCTATAGGGCAGCCTTTTTACATACAACCTGAAAATTTCAGGTCCGGGCGACCTTGAGTCAGGTCACCAAGTTAGAAAAACCGGCACAAGGTCATGGTCAAATTTCAATTTTCTTTATGCACCTGTCGAGCTCACAATTTTGGACTGATTTCCTTCAAACTTTCAGGATGTGCTAAGTTCACCGAGTTGTATAACATGTAGTTCGCTTTTTATGTCACTGACCTGAGGTCAGTAAAGCCTGGAGGTCATTACGTCGTAATGTTAAGCCTATGAAAGAATATTCAAATAACTTCGATTCGGAAAATACTAGAGATATCCGCTTCGTTCTGTCACTTTTGTGCTTTGATACCACAGTACTTAACATTATGTCACTCAGGGGTTTAATTTTCCTAAAATGATTGTGGGTGCCCAGCTGTAGGGGCGCCAGACCGTTTTGGGCGCAATGGATATTTTTCAGTGTTTTCCGCGATAACTAATTTTCGGAACTGCGATAACGATAAAACGATAAGAAAGATTTGCGATAACGATAAACGATAAACGATGACATTTTTCAAAAAATTAACAGCGATAGCGATAAAACGATAAAACGATAACGACCAGTATAACGCCTTTTGGGGCGACTAACGGAGCGAGCGAGAGGGTGGGCCTTGCACGTGCGACATTGCGAGGGGGTACCTCCAACTGACTTGTGCACGGCACCCTACTAACCGGTCTCTAGCGATGTGCCAAATCTGGGCACAATCGGCCCAGCCGTTCTCGAGATCTGGAAGCGGCACCCTGCACGTGCACACGTGCAAAAATGGGTCCCAACTGACTTGTGCACGGCACCCTATCAACCGGTCCCTTACTGTGTAGTGTGTACCAAATTTGAGTGCAATCGGTCGAGCCATTCTCGAGATCTGGAAACGACCCCTGCACGTGCGCACGTGCAGCAGCGCCCCAACTCTGGCACATGGATATGCAGTGCCTATAGTGGGTGCCATACCTACATGCCAACTTTCAGCGCAATCGGCCAAGTAGTTACCGAGATATTGCAACAATTACAAAACGGACACCTCTTCGATTTGCACGTGGCACGTGCATAAGGGGTCACCCACATGCATCAGGAATAGTCCAATACTTGGTAGAAGAATGAAGCTACCCTACAAAAATTACCGCGTGTAAATCGGTCAAGTGGTTGCTGAGATATAAGCCTCGCAAAAGCGTGAGCACTGACCACGGCCGGCCGGCTGGCCGCTCATACTCAGAAATTTCCGTTAATTTAAGGAAAGTATTTATAGTCACCGTGGGAAAGACTACGCTCGCTTCGCTCGCTCCGTAATAAATGCTTTTTAACAGCGATGACGAAACGATAAACGATAAAACGATAACGGTAATTGTTTTAAGGGCGATAACGAAACGATAAACGATACAACGATAACGATAATTGTTCTTTAACAGCGATAACTAAAGCGATAAAAAATACAGCTTAAA